CCAGTTGAGGTAACATTAAACAGCCTTGCAGCAATTCCTTCTGCTAAAATATGTGATACTTTTGATATGCTGTCTGACAGACACTTGGCATAAACTCGACTACTATGAGCATAATCCTCGCCTGAAGTGTCAGGAAATAAGTGCTGCTGCAATTTACTGCGGTATGCTTGGTATTACTCAGACAGCAGGATAAACACTTTCTTCATTTGAACTTCTCGCCAGATGGATTTTCTGAAAGACAGCATGATGATAACACCGCAGTATTGCATTCAGTGATCAGCTTCATTCCTTTACTGCTGTAGAATGAGCTCACAAAATGTATTACAGCCTCAAAATCATCAACATCATCTTTTTCAGCTTTTAAACCAATCAAACTTAATTTGATTTAGCAAACCCATTCCATGCATGTCAAAAAGTCCAAGAAAAATCTGTCTTGTCAACCGTGGTTCTTCTTGCTGAGACTTTCAATTAGTCTGGTGGCTTTCCAGTGGTTTGCTTCAGGACCCAGATTTTGCATCAAATAGCGGCCCAACATCAAAATCAACATTTTTTTTTTTAACTTACAGAATGTCAACAGAAATCTCTTTAAAATCAAACATTTTTAATAGTAACAAACTGCAGACCAATAGTATTTAAAAATATTAAAATAACTGACTGAACTGGAAAAATGTCCGTTTTGGTTTCTAATGGTTTCATAACTCATTAAATGCTCTTGTATAGTTTTGTTGCTTTTGGTCTATGTGTGTTTTCCTTCAGGTAGGACTTTTTTTTTTTTTTTGTCCAGTCAAAATGTTCTCAATGATAATGATCCTCCCCAAAAAGACCTGCAACCTAATTGCAAATTAAGTAAAATAAAAAATGTATTTTTCCTCTCAATTTTTAATGCCCCCAAATCAAACGGTCACGCATAATGCTCACACTTCCACAAAGCCACTATTATGAAAAAAACTAAAACTTAAATTTTGGTTGGACAATCCCTTCAAGTATTGTGTGGTATTAAACGATTGTGTGTTTAATGTGTCTAATCAAAATACTTTTCATTTTAAGTCTCAACAATAAATGTTTTCAGTCATAGCATGTCAGCAAAAAGGGGAAAATTATTTCCAGTAGCACAGTATAGTAATAAATTATCAGACATTATTTAGAACACCAATACAAATGGAAATTTGGATTGACTTCTGAATAAGACTAACAATATATTTACAGCTCAGTCTTTTACTTTCTTTGTATTCAACCTGTTGTTCACACGCCTGATGCAACTCCAGTTGTTGGTACTCAAATCTCTGCTCTACTTGACTGATAAAATATAATATTTCATATTTAAATATTACCTCATGATTTTTTTTTTCAACTGTATGGTGCAGAAAAAAAGAACATGTGCATATTCCTTTTCCATATTGGATCCATATTGGTACCTTAAAAGTACATATTAGTACCTAAAAGATACAAAAGTGTACCTTTTGAAAAGGTACTGCCCCAGCGACAGCTTTTGTACCATTTTTTTTTTTGAAAGTATGAGATTAATATTTTATATGTTTCTCCTATCGGCCATGGTTTTTAAGCTGTGTTGCCATGAAACTGGAGATTTCAGAGAACTGTGTCATTTTCAAGTAAAATATTTGAGTAAAAATATGTTGAATATTATAAAAGGGTCAAAATAAGATTTTTTGCATTTCTTGAGAGGCAGAATAAGCACTAGTTCAACCTCTTCAGAGTTTTGAAATCGGAGTCAACCCAGAAAGATGCACTTTGCTTGCAGTCACATGTTGCAGTTACAGCATCTACCAGCAGGGGCTAATGAGGCCATGCTAACCAGCAACCCCTTGGACCCTTGCAATTGCTTACATCCCAGTTCATATCCCACTGCATCTCACTAGATGATGACATGCCCAAAAATTGGCTTCATGCACACTGTAATCATGCCCTAGCGGACACATAAAAACCAAGATATACAGTAGACTACTTTGGGCTGCATGTGCACTATACACATACCCTTGCATACGCATAAAACCGAGTATACTTTGGTCTTCACACGTACTGTATGTGTAAAAATTGAAGTATTATTTATACATTAGGCATTTATACAAGTTCGCATGACCTATATTGTACTTGCAACAAAAGAAGTACAGTATACTTTAGGGTTCAAGTGCACTCTACACATGCCTAGTAGTGTATGCATTAAAAGTTTCAAGTGCACTGTACGCATAACCCAGCGTACACATAAAGCCGAAGTATACAGTACTTAAGGCTTCATGCACACTAGCATATGCAAATATACCGAAGTATAATTTCGGCAGTGTATGTATGCCCTAGCATATGCGTAAAAAAGCAGTGTGCTTTAGACTTCATGTGCACTGTATGCATACCTCAGCATACACATGAAAACCAAAGTATACTTTAGGCTTCACATGCTCTGTACACATATGCAGCTTATGCAGCTTTACGAGCACTGTATGCATACCCTAGCGTACATGGAAAACCTAAGTATACAGTACTTTGGGCGTCACAAGCACTGTATGTATGCCCTAGCTTACGCGTAAAAACTGAATTTAACTTTGGGCTTCAAGTGCACTGTACACCTACCCTAGTCTAGTGTATGCTTAAAAACCGAGGTATGGTTTGAGCTTCATGTGCACTGTACACATGACATGGCATAGAGTACGCATAAAAAAACAAAGTATACTCTGGGCTTCAAGTGCACTGTAGGCCTACACGTGCCTTAGCCATAAAACACAAGTATACTTTGGGCTTTATGTGCACTGTACACATACCCTAGTGTACGCGCAAAAACAAAGTATACAGTAATTTGGGCTTCATGCAAACATGCCCTATTGCATATAAAAACATACGTGCTGTATGGTAAGCATACCCTAGTATAAACATAAGTATGCAGTACTTTGGGCTTTACGAGCACTGTATGCATACCCTAGCGTACTTGTACAACCTTAGTATACAGTACTTTGGGCGTCACATGCACTGTATGTATGCCCTAGCTTATACATACAAACTGAATTAAACCTTGCACTGTAAGCCTAAACTTGTCCTAACATAAAACCTAAGTATACTTGGGCTTTATGTGCACTGTACACAACATGGCGTGGAGCGTACGCGCAAAACCAAAGTATACAGTAATTTGGACTTCATGCACACTGTACACATGCTAGCATTGCATATAAAAAGTGTGCGCTGTATGGTAAGCATAAACTAGTATGCAGTACTTTGGGCTTTACGAGCACTGTATGCATACCCTAGCGTACTTGTACAACCTTAGTATACAGTACTTTGGGCGTCACATGCACTGTATGTATGCCCTAGCTTATACATACAAACTGAATTAAACCTTGCACTGTAAGCCTAAACTTGCCCTAACATAGCCATAAAACCTAAGTATACTGGGGCTTTATGTGCACTGTACACAACATGGCGTGGAGCTTACGCGCAAAACCAAAGTATACAGTAATTTGGACTTCATGCACACTGTACACATGTCCTAGCATTGCATATAAAAAGTGTGCGCTGTATGGTAAGCATAAACTAGTATGCAGTACTTTGGGCTTTACGAGCACTGTATGCATACCCTAGCGTACTTGTAAAACAAAGTATACTCTGGCATTCAAGTGCACTGTAAGCCTAAAATTGCCCTAGCATAGCCATAAAACCTAAGTATACTTTGGGCTTTATGTGCACTGTACACATATCCTAGTGTACGCGCAAAACCAAAGCACACAGTAATCTGGACTTCATGCACACTGTACACATGCTAGCATTGCATATTAAAAAATAGTGTACTGTATGGTAAGCATACCCTAGTATGCACATAAAAATGAAGTATGCAGTACTTTGGGCATCATGCTCACTGTATGTATGCCCTAGCTTACGCGTACTAACTGAATTAAACTTTGGGCTTCAAGTGCACTGTACACATACCCTAATGTAAGCACAAAACCAAAGTATACCGTAATTTGGGCTTCATGCACACTGTATGCATGCCCTAGCATTGCATATAAAAAACAGCATACCCTAGTACACACATAAAAACTGAAGTATGCAGTACTTTGAACTTTACAAGCAAAGTATGCATAGCCTAACGTGCATGTAAAACCTAAGTATACAGTACTTTGGGCATCACACGCACTGTATGTATGCCCTAGCCTATGCATACAAACTGAATTAAACCTTGGGCTTCAAGTGCACTGTAAGCCTAAACTTACCCTAGCATAGCCATACAACCTGAGTATACTTTGGTCTTTATGTGCATTGTACACAAACCAAAGTATACTGTAATTTGGTCTTCATGCACACTGTACGCATGCTAGCATTGCATATAAAAATGTGTGCTGTATTGGTAAGCATTCCTTAGTATGCACATAAAAAAATGAAGTATGCAGTACTTTGGGCATCATGCTCACTGTATGCATACACTAGTGTATGACTAAAAACTGAAGTATACAGTACTTAGGGTTTAAGGGAAGCAAATTATGCTTTGGATTTCACCTGTTGGGTTTTACATTTACATTTAGTCATTTAGCAGACGCTTTTATCCAAAGCGACTTACAAATGAGAACAATGGAAGCAATCAAAATCAACAAGAGAGCAAAGATATGCAAGCGCTATAACAAGTCTCAGTTAGCTTAACGCAGTACATGTAGCAAGGTTTTTTGAAAAGAAAACAAGCAGTTAGTAAATTAATAGAGTGCAAGTCTAAAAGGGGCAAGTATTTTTTAAAGAATAGAATTAGAATAGAGTGCTAGAGTTAGAGGGTCAAATAAAGATGGAAGAGATTTGTTTATGGTTTTAAATTCATTATAAATCATTGGACGCACTTCATTGAATCCAGTGTTTATCTTACACTGCAGTGTAACTGGCTTAGCATGGCGTCTGACTGACAGCTGGGAATGCTTTCTGAACCGCCGTTAATTCGGTTGCAGTCGGCGCAGAGCAAGTGCGCGAGAGCTGCGCAATTGTGTCAAGTTTTGTAAAGAGCGAAATCTGTCCCTGTGGCACGCCCACCGATTTCCGAGAACACTGGACCCTGCTGAGCTGAGAGGCTAGCGTATCGATCCGCAGCGAGGCCTCGCATCGCATCGCATCGCATGGGCGTCGTACATCATCTGCGCGAGCGCTCAGTGATGATGCGGATATCTGTCGCCGGCTCGCGCTGAATCTGATCCCGTCGCGCGTTGAATTTGATGTTTGACCACTTTGCCCTTTTTCCTCGGAGGAGAGAAAGAGATGGGATCAGGTGCTGTGGATTCCTCCCAGTGGCTGTCAGTGAAGGAAGAGACTATTTTCCTTCACGATGGACTAATTCGGGTCACGGACCTGGCAGAGCTGCCCAGCGAAATCGGTTTGTCCGAACAAGGGGAATCCGAGCAGGAGGTAGGCATTTATTATATCCGTTTAATTTAGATTGCGATAAGACGTGAATTTAATTAGCTTAACACCAAAGTTAACTAACGCTAACTCGGCTCGCCTGGGATTGGATAACGTTCGGCCAAAACAGGCTTGTCAGATAGCAACACGCTAATAATAAAAGCCTCTTGTTGTGTTTATTCAAGTAAATTAAGTATTTAGTCGTGTTAAATCACATATCGTGTTTTCCCGGTTGATGTAAACATGCTCTAAGCCCGTTATGAGCAGAATCAAATATTGCCACAAATACTGAATTTAACGGCCGATCGATTTGCGTTGACGTTAACGAAGCTTATACACAACTCTTTAATGTTGTTATTGTAAATGTATATGTCGTGTATAATGAGAGGCACACAGTTTTGTGTGTCTCTGGTGTTTGACGCGTTAGCATAGCACAGACAGGCTAGTATTAGGGGGAGATGAATCTCTCACTGGCGTGTGGCAGGCAGCTATTGACCTGTCCGAAGGATTCATGTTACAATTCAAGATGGAAACCACATAGGTTTAAGACAATACATGTAATTCTGATGTAGAACGCCAAAATACGACAACTTATAACGTTAGTGACATTTACCTCAGTACGATATAGGGCTTTCCCCACTATTACAGTAACCTAAACGCTCTAACACAAATGTTGTCCTAAGCACACAATGTCATTTTCCTCCATAAGTAATTTATTTAAGTAATAAAACATGAGTAGTCGTGTTAAACTGTAGTCATTTAGTAACGGCTAAAGGGCGTTGCTTGGCGATGTATTATCTATGTGTCCCAGTTCGCATACCCTCCACCCTCAATAGTATCCGAGATTAGAATTAGTGTGCTCCAAATAGTATGCTGCAACGAGTATACCAAGGAAACCAGAATGGCTTGCTATTTCTGGTGGATTTGTGTGAACAAAGATTCTCTTATTAAAGGAAACATATGTGTGACTGAATCGTATTTTGTGTATCATTTTTATGCATCATATTGGAGAAAATATGAGCTGTGTCCCAAATGATGTACTATGCACCAAGCAGGGGTTTTCAATCTTTTAGATGCCACAGACCCCCAAATATGATAGTCTTAGGGTCCCTCATCCTAATATTTAAAAGGTCTCTATATAGTTTCTTGCATAAAGACCTAATTTGTATAGTGAAAATTTCATTCAATATTATTTTTACATTATTATGCTTTAGATTGTTACTGATTGTAGTACTGTACTTTTTTGATATTTATTTACTAATTACCCATTTATGTTCTTATTTAGTTTAATCAAATATGTATTTATTTTAGTCTTTTTATTATTTAATTTATTTTTACATTGTTTGAACCCTGGCTTCAGTTTGAAAATCGCTGCTCTACCGTCTGGTGCACACTTTGTTTTTTTTGGTTAATTAAGTGCACCATCCGGTATTTGAAGAACACTTTTTAGTTTTTAGGGCCCATGCACCTCTTGGAATTGCTCTGTTTATTCTTTTTTGGAATTTTCAGTGTGTACACACTTACTCACACTATGCATACTACAAAATAGCATAGAATAGTACGCAAACTGAGATGCATCTACTGTCAGGGCCCGTCCCAATACCACACTTGTGGTCATTGCACTTGGACCACTCGTCTACTTGCATGATGCATTCCCTCTGTTACCTGATGGGACACACTTACAGTGTTGTAAAAATGCAAGTAAAGTTTTTAAACAGCCCTATATTTACACATTTTGAGGTTCAGAACTTTTCACTTAAATTAAACTTCCAAATGTCTGTTCGGTAGTCATAACTAAGAATTTAATGCTGTCTTCAAGTGCATGCGTTTCACGTGTCATGCATTCAGAAACATAACATTGATGCAATCTAAACAAACCTGATTATATATTGTGATCCATAAACCCCAATAACTACATCTGATTTGAAAATTATGAAAAAATATAAATTTCTGTTACTTATCTATTCATGGTATCACAAACATATGTGACGAAAACTGCGAAAGCTCAATGATAAACACCATTTGGCTACACACTTGCTTTCCACTCACTGATCTTTATATTATACGTAGATTATATGATATTATCCATATTGTGTTTCTGTGATGTTTCACATTAATATGCCTCTTCCAACATCACAACTCTGCCACGTGTATATCAGCGTTTCACGTTTGTAAATAAGAAGGAATAGCACAGGTAGTTGGCTTTTTAATTTGTTTTGTTTAGTGTTTTTTTGTGGCACTGTATACTGTAGCAATACAGGCCATCTCCAGAACCCCCTTCTCCTCCTTTAGATCCGACTGGTTGTTTTTCCTCTCGTTTGTTGCCATACAAATGTCTCTGTGCACTTCCAGTCTGTTGCAGCACGCCTTTATTTTTTTAGTCTTTTGATTCTACAGGTGGAAAAACACACAGGTAGCAACAGTGAATCTAATCTTCTTTCTGAAGTTCAAAAGTTCACTTTAAGAGTGAACAAAGTGACATCAATGAGTCTAAAGTTTGATGTATGAAAAATGCATTAGAAAGGGCGATTATACAGTATATTATGCAATTTCCCTATTTTCAGCATAGATGTCAAAACACTACTTTTGCTTGATCTTTCAGCACGGGGAGAAGTTGGTAAATAAACAGTGGTTTGGGACAAATATAATGCAATTGAATTGAAAACTTTATGAAATTTTAGGATGCTCTGTGTCGTCGACCAGACGTGTTCAATGCGTGAGTCATTTGTTGTGAATTGGACAAAACTGGTTGCTTTTTGTGTGCGGCTCGCAAGGAAAGACGTGTTATTTTCTGCTGTACATCACTGATGGTAATGTGTCAGATGTTTGTTCAGTAACAGAATAAACTTCTGACTCATTACTTTCAGTCATGTCCATCTTGAAATGAAGCAAGTTTTGTGTACTTCTTGTAACTTAAGCCAGTGGAACCAGGCCTTGTTTGTCGTTCACTGAGCGAATTACCTGAGAGTAATAGCTAGATTAATTGTGCATTTATATCAAATAATTATATATAGTTGCCAGGAATGTTTTCAGCAAGTGAGCTGCAACCTGAAATTGGGCAAACTGTCTAATGGAGAGGATTCAGAAAGAAATGCTCAGTTAGAAAGGAAATACTGCTCACTGCTTGAATTAAAGAAACGGTGTTGAGCAGGTATAGTAGATAAAACAGTATTTTTAATACTTTAAATCATTTGTTGATTGTATGACTCTTCAAATATGTATATAAACAAAAAAAAATTAGTTTGACCTGTTCCATGGTAATGTGTATATTGTGAGATATGTTGTTTTCGACCAGCATTTTAAGAATATCGCAAGATATTAAAAAAAAAGTTTGTGTTATCCTAATCCAGAAAAAGGTTATTATACACCGCATGCATAATTATTAGGCACGTTGATATTCTGATGATATTTTTTTCCAAGCACATTTTACCAATTCCAAACCACATCAATCTTAATAACTACTATTAATTTTGTATTTAATCATTTATAAGGGATATATAATTGTCCATGACGGCAAATTTTGTATTTAATCATTTATAAGGGATATATAATTGTCCATGACGGCTGGAAGTGAAAAACTCCTTATATTCAGGTGTGCAGAATTATTAGGCATGTTTTCTTTTACAGATAAAATGAGCCAAAAAAAAGAGCTTTAACTTTAACTTTAAAATGGTTAAATCCCCATGAGAAATATTCAAAGCTAATGCAATACAGAAATTGCAAAGTTAAGACATGACCACTGGACAGCAAAATGCTCATTGGGTCAGCGAGGTCAGAAAAAACAGGTGGAGAAGAAAAGACACATGTTAACAGCAAAATATTTAAGAATTAATGTGAAGAATTAGATGTAAAACCATCAGGTGTGTGTGTGTGTGTGTATATATATATATATATGTGTACACGCACACACACACACACATTTTATACTGTTAGTATGTTTTATTACTAGTATGTTTAAAATAATAATTAAGTAATAAATAAAATTAATTATGCAACTAATAATTTTGGGGATGTGTTCCTATTATAGCTTTTAAAGGGTTGTACATACTTAATCATTCATTTTTTTTTTTTTTTTTAATTTTCTCTTAAATCGCTAGATACAATCCCTGAGTTTGACAGCTTTGAAGCAAGTAGCTAATTTTAGATTAACCTGATGAGGGTCTTTTCTGTGCTCTTGCAGATCTTGACATTCGAGACCAAGAACCCAGTGGAGCTTGCCGAGCGCCTGCGAGCCGTCTGCGGAAACCAGAGCAACGCTTACACCAGACTTTTGGAGTACCGTCTCAATGCTCTGCGCGGACTGTGGGGGGCGCAGCGACAGCTGGCCCTGGAGGAGCAGCAGGAGCATGACGGGGTCCTCCCAGGGAGCACCGCAGGGGCCGACGAGGAGACGCTGGCCCTGCTTAAGCGACAGGGCTTCCTGCAACCTCAACATCACCACCATCCTCACCACACTCCGATGGCCGCCGGCACCGATCAGGCGCCGTTTACCTCACGCGTCGGCCTCCTGTTGGTCTTTCCACTACTGCAGTCGCAAACTCGGCACGACCCTGCGCTCTGCGGCGTCACCGCTGAGGTCCTGCTCGCGTGTCTGCGCGACTGCCAGCCGCTCAGCCTGGGCAAGGAGCCTGCAGACTGCCTTAATGGCCTGGAGAGGTTGCTTTGCTCCTGGCTGGAGGAGAGGAGTGAGCCGGAGGGAACGGCACAGGCGAGACCACTGCTCACCCAACAGCAGAGGCAGAATGCAGCAGCTGCTCTAGTGGCTCTATCATGTGCAAGGTGAGCGCAGTACAACGGCTACTCGTTTTCAGCTTCAGCCTTTATTTATGGCTTTTAGTCACTTTGCAATAGTTTGCTAAATAATTTTTTTTTCATGCACTGGTCAGTTTTGAGATTTTGGGCTATTTTTAGTGATGCACCAAAATGGTCCAAAAACGTAGGAAATCGGTAAAATAGTCCATGTGACATCAGGGGTTCAACTGAAATTTTAGGGTAGGCGGTAGGCGATATGACCAAAATCTTACATCAAGATACGAGTAATTTTATTTCACGGTAACAATATATATCACGATATAGTTATTTTTGCTTTAAATAAGGTCTTTATGATATTAAAATTTTTGATACCATAGAAATTTCATAATTCTTGTCACCAGTGTCAGTATCACAAAAAACTAACACTAACCTAACAAAAAAAAAAAAATAAATTCAAGCTCACTGAAGACAAGTAAACAGTCAGTGATTAAATAAGAATAAGAAGCTAATTACAAGCAATTAGGACAAAAAACTACAGTAGAACAAATAAATAAGAAATGCTACATACATACAGTACTAGGGATGCAACAATACAGTTAGTCCACAGTTCAATACGTACCTCTTTTTTTTTTTTTTTTTGCAACAGATTAGATAGATAGATAGATAGAGAGATCAAATTCATGTATTGGCACATCAGAGTGTTTTTTGCAACAAATTAACAACAAAAAACTCCTGTAAACCTCTGTACACTGGAAAAAGCGTTAATTATTATGTCTGCTTAACATTTCTTTTGAGAGAGGTATTATTTTTCAGATTTTTAACCAAAATAGGATGGATTGGCCATTATTGAGCGCCATAAACACGTTAATGTGTTTTTCATTCATACTGGACGCCAGAGGGCGCCCTCGTGCAGATTATCCACATACAGTGTGTCCGTGGGTCCTTAAAATGTCTTAAATAACGTTTTCCTAATAAAAGGCCTTAAAAAGTCTTAATGTCTTAAATTCAGATTCGATGGGTATTAAATATTTAGACAGACCGAAGATTTTTATTCTTCCCCCGCGGTAGTTACTGCGTCATCAGACAGAATCACAGTAGCAGAATACAGGTCGAACTACCTTCTTTGTTTATATAATGTTCTCAATAATAATAATAATAATAATAATATAGGTTGAGCTACAGCCTTCTAGCTAGTTTAAAATGTTTTTTTTTTTTTTTACCTGCCTGACCGGACAAATAACGTTAGCCTGATTAAAACTTAAGTGTCAAAAAAATAACCGGCGAAGCGTCAAAATGCGAGAATGATTCTTCTGATTTTATTACATTCAACGTAAACAGCGAATGTATTTCTTGTATTAAGGTCGCGCTGTTGAGGCTCACGCTGCCTGTCTCTTTGTGAGAGACTTCAAAACAAATGAGCGTAACAGCACACATAAAGAAACTCAGAAGAAACACACTGAGGTAAAAATTCAAAATGTTTAGTTTTTTCATAACATGATATAGTTAAGTAACATACCATGACAAGGGAGCTATTTTGCTGAATATTCCCACGATTGCAAATGTTACATTGATTTTAGTTCAATAAACAAGTAGTTCAGTTGTCAAGTAGTTATTAAGTTACTTACATTTTAGACAAAATATATACTGTTTTGTTCTATTTCACCAACGAAAAATAGTTCCAAACAAAGATCACATCAGAAGTATTGCACATTCTCCAAGCTACACTCGGCTGTGTTTTGTTATTGAATGATTCAGCGATTTGAACGAATCAGTTAAATGAATGACTCAATGACTCACTCTTTAAATGATTTACCGCCACCTTCTGGTAGTTTAGTACGTTAAAACGTATGCATTTTTTCCCCCCAACAGTTCTTATTTGTATATTCATTAATGTATTTAAACAATTAATCTTATAACATTATTTATTGCAGTTGTAATTTTGCAGTGTAAAATATTTAATCTGACTGGTAACATCCCTATAGTGTATATTGAATTTATTGATAAATTGTAATAATTTGACATGAAAGATGGTGCATACATTTAAAAAGGTTCAAAAATAGGCCTTTGTAAAGGTAAATAAAAACATGCAGATTTAAGTATGTAAAAGCTGATAGAACACTGATGAAAATATTGCTTCAGAATAAATTGTTTACACCACCAAAAATCTCGGTGATGCAGTACTTTTGTGGGGATATTTAGTATGGAATATTGTCTGCTGATATGAAATGTTCACTGTATATCGTAGTAATAAATATTTATGACAGCGACAATATTTTGTTTTCTTTTTACTTTAAACACATTAAATATTACGTATATGTATGTAATATAATGTGTATTTCAATCACCCGTTTAGGTCTTAAATTTCATATAAGGTGGTATTAAAAAGGTCTTAAAAAGTCTTAAATTTAACTTGTTCATATCTGTAGAAACCCTGACATATGCATCACAGAAGTAACACTGATGACGTTTCAGGAAATCCCTAATATGGATAAAGGCATCGCTATCGCTGTAACTGAATAAAAAGAAGATATAACGTTAAATGTTTTGAATGATGAAATGTGAGGACAATAAACACTCGCCTGCTGCGACAAAATATGGTTTATCTGTGTTCTTCAAGCCATCTTGGGTATTTTCATAATGATAAGTATATTTGTATGCCATTTCTAATTGACATAGCTTTTATTATAGTGTAGGATATATTTTCTGCCTCATTTTGTGATAAGAAGCCACCTCAGATCATAAAAGGAAGTTATTTCAAACACTCGAATATAGTCGATAATGTTGTGAAGTAAAAACAAGTTATAATGTTCTCTTTTGTTGGACAACAGGTTTAGAAAGGCTTGTGCATGTCATTACAAGGGAAGATGCTCGGCATGTGTTGTTTTTTAAATGCATGTTATAAGCGAGGATTTCCTCATCTCAGCACGTGAGTTCATTGGCACACACACACACACACACACACAGCCAATTCTGAGAGAAGTAAAACACACGGATATTATTTAAATGCAAAACCGAAAAAACGCAATTCACAAGCGCGTATTGAACCGTGGATGTTGTACCGAACGGTTCGATATTATATTGAGAATTGTGACATCCCTACTACATACATTGTATAAAGTAATCAAATGTATAAAAACACTGCATATTCTTCACGGTGTACGTTAAATATATATTTCTTCTTATTAAAGTTACAAAAGAGATTTAGTCGAGAGTAGTGAAAGATTTTCTTTCTTTTGTTGTTTGATTAACATGAATGGCAGGCAGCAGGAATATTTGACTGCTGTGAAAGATAAAAACAATTTTTAATATAACTCCGACTGGATTCGTCTGAAAGAAGAACAACATAACGTGAGTATGTAACCGCGACAGAGACGATAGTCGAAATCTCTACCAGTATATCGCCCACCCCTAAATCACATTTATTTAATAAATCAACACTTAAAACTGAGTTGTTCAAAGTTATATTGCACATAAGGCAGTATTTGTCAACTTTTTCATAACATAATTATGTTTCTACCCAAGTTTATTGTTGAAATATTAACATTTAAACAGTAAAACTTGTTTCCATGACAGATTTATTCAAGCATACATTACATGAAGGCAACAGGTTGAATAAAAATATAATGGATATGTAATTAGGGTTGCAGCATCATTTCCGGTATATTTCTGGAAAATTCCCCACATTTTCTGAAAGTTTCCAAAAAAAATGCTGGCAAGGTTCCAAAAATTCTGGAAAGTTTCCAGACATTTTCCACTCCTTTTCGACTCTATATGTAATATAGCGCATTTTATAGCTGATTAACAGGTTCATGAACATTGAATGTCTTTCCTGAGGTAAATGTGATTGTGACATTGTTTTATTGACATCTTTCCACGGTTAAAACACTGAGTGATTATATGAGACATGATAATGATCAAATTAACATAATTTGAAAGCTGAGACTTTGTTTCATATTAAAAGTTACAAAGCACAAATCTTATTGTGATTATTGGATGACAGGTGCTACAAATAATATTTAGTGAAGTTCATGCAACAGAAAACAGCACAAACTAAAAGATCGATCTTGAGATTTAAGAATCCATATCAGTATTGTGTAAAAATTAGAAATTGATATGGTTAATCCAGCAGCACTGTGTTTGCTTGTTTGTAGTTTATCCACATGCATGAAATAGACAATGAAACAGTCAAAATCCACCATTGGAGAAACACTAGTTAAACGTCACTGTTTTTGATCAATGATTTCAGCTCTCCAAAAATATTCCAGCCAAAACCAAAAATTGCTGTTTTGGCTGAAAATTTTCAGTTGCTGAAATTTCAGTGCATCACTAGCTATTTTTTCCCATAACGTCTTTTTCACACTAGTGGAAAGAAAAATTATATTATTGCACTTTATGTATTTGCATCATTGGAGTTCAATTAAAATTCATATTTTTAAATGCTGAGATTTTTCTCACTTTTTCACACTTACATAAAACTTTAGTTTTAGTCCTATGTTCTGATTTTTTTTGTTGTTGTCTGATTTATATTACATTTAATTTCTAAAAAAAAAAAAAAAAAAAAAAAAATTTTTTTTTTCTATTGACCGTTTTTCTGATTTATGGAGTAATACAAATAGATCCATAATCCCATATGTAACTCTAACATGTAAGTCATTTAACTCTATTTATGTCAGCAAAATGAAGGAGAATTTTAAACCTGGCTTTATACAATGTTCAAAATGAACATTAGGAATTATGATGATATCTGTTAGTTAAAATGTTTATATCTCAGTATAGTTGCCCCAGTTAAGTATGGTACTCTCAATGTATTTTTGGCCCTTTTAAACAATCAGTTTATCCAGTCAATCATAAATGGTAAGCTGAGACACACGGCACTTAAGTACTAAAGTACTCACTTTTGATCTGATATGTCTAGGAAGGAGTCTCTCTTGATTTCATAGCTACATGCATCACTATATCAGTCAAAAAACAAAGGGAAATACAGCAAGGAAACTAACAAAACTCTGTTGTTCTGTCTGTGTTTGCAGGGGTTCCCTCAAAACGTTCATTCACACTGTCCACCTGCTGCAGAAACAGACAGACCTGGGTCAGCTTCCAGTGGCTGATGTTCTCTACAGGTGAGCGGTGTCGTAATATTACTGTCTGTGAAGACATATTAAACTGCTTCTGTTAACTCTTATGAATGGTGCAGAATAAACAGGGTGGGAATTATTAACCAGTTTTAAAACTGTAACTTTACTAGAAGGAGTCGTGTCTTCATGTTGTATTTTAGGAAAGGTGTTACTGGCTGTTTTTTCTGGGGCTTTATTGACATGATTTTTCAGAATGGCAAACAGAAATTAAACTGCTTTGGTGACTGTATGCACCAGCCATATACACTGGCGGTTAAGAGTAATTATGATTTTTAAAACGTTTTTGAAAGAAGTCTCTTCTGCTCTCCGAGGCTGCATTTATTTGATCAAAAGTTAGTAAAAACAGTAACGTTGTGAAATAGTATTGCAATTTAGTATTACAGTTTTCTATGTGAATGTATTTTAAAATGTAATTTATTCCCG